CTCCCGAAGTAAAGCCATCCATAATCTCCCACCCCCAATGATCAATATATATAATAATATGTACATCAGTTAACTGGCCTGAGTTTAGTATACTGGGCAACTAAGAAAAGCCGAGTACCCTGGGTCCCGCAGCCCAGCAATCTAAAAACCGTCAAGCTAAATGAGCTAACTGGCACATCTAAGCCCACAGAACCCCTAGCTCCAAAAGCAAGCAACGTCACCATTTCCTAAGAAGGCAAATGCATACTGCAACACAGTGGACATAGACAGCAGCCCTCAGTACTCTATGGTCCTTATTATCACTCTTCAGAGAAACTGCCATGGGCTCACATCCCATTTTTCTGCTCATTTCTTTTCTCTTCCTCTCCAGAGTTATTTCAAACTCCACAAGCACTGGAGCCTTGTCTGTCTTTACACCAATGTGCACAGAGTTCAGATGGTTGTGTGCTCAATAAAAACTTGTCAAATGACCACAACTACCCAGGTAATTTACTTTAAGGTCACCAAGTACACATAAGATCAAGTCAGTACCAATAAATCGTTAAGTCCAATGCAACAGCAAATACAAAATAAATTATTACTCTAGTCCTAGTCAGAGTATGTTTAAAACTACCAGCTTTTAGGTTGAAAGGGTTGATAAGGTTTGATGATTTGTAAGTCAAAGGTAATTGTTCGATATATTTTACCGAGTATTTTTATGAAAGACAAACACTACAATGAAACCAATGTGACTCAAGGTGCAAAACCACAGTTGTGGGTTCTCAGGAAACATGGGTAAAAGGCCTGGGAATCTTGCTATCTGAAAAGTATTGTCAGATACCCTTTAGAAGGTTCTAGTAAAGATGATAACTATGTTGTGGTTTTTCCACAAAACTTCTATAGCACATCTTTGGGATTGAGATGTCAGAGGGTCATTCAAGGAAGGAGCACATTTTATACATGAAAGACTTCTACCAACTTTTGTAGAGCTATTTATTTCTCTGAGATTATAATAGACATCTAAAATAATTTCCTTTCATGTACCTCTCCACAAAAGTTCTAAAAATAACATTTTCGGAGGCAGTACACAAATAACCCAGGAGTAAATAAAACATTGTTTCAACTCAACACAGATAAAATCTAGACAAGAAGGGTTACCCCCTAGCCTACAGCCCACAAGGCAAGAGAACCTACTCTTCTTACAAGTTGTCCTCTGACTTTCATGTATGTGCTGTGAAACACACTTGCAGACATGAATAAATGTTTTACCCCTGGAGATGATGAAAATTACAAAAGTTCTAAATCTATAGTAATTTATGCAAAGAATTTACCAATTTCTCAAGTAAGTGCAATTTAAATAGGAGCTGCAGGGAAAAAAAAATGTACCATTACTAGCAAAGACATAATCATTGACAAGAATATACAGCAATGTTCAGTGAGTTTTATTTTAAAATACTGTATTCAGAGAACTAAGAAGACCACAAAAGTATAGTATGTTTATCACCAAGCCTAGGAAGTTACTCTGCCCAACATTTAAAAACTCAGCAGCAAGAAGAGTTCTGTAAATTTTGTTCATTTGTAAGGTTTCCCTTTTTTCCCCTACTTCTCTTAAAAGCTGATTGCCATCGGCAGAGTAGGATAGGAAATACTACTTCAAGCTACCACCTAGGAAAGGGATTATGTTTCTTCCCTGCCTACCTGCCATCTCACACACACAAACATAGCCTTTCCAGTTGTCCACTACTCCTCCAGGATCCAGCATTAAAAACTTAGCAATATATCAAAGAACGAAAACAAGGAAATCAACTGACAGGATGGCAATGTTCTAAAACTTGGAATGTGGTGACAACTTTATAAAATTATGGGGCTGGAGAGATGGTTCAGCAGTTAAGAAAGAGCACTGACTACTCTTAACAGAGGACCCTGGTTCGATTCTCAGCAGCCACATGGTGGCTAACAACCATCCATACCTCCAGTCCCAGGGGATCTGATGCTGTCCTTTGATCTCTGCAGGCATTGTACAACACAGGCACACTTACATACATGCAGGCGATACTCATATATATAAAGTAAAAATTATAAAATATTTTTAAAATTGTAAAATTATAAAGATCTATTCTGCCCCGAGACCATCCAAGTAGACTGTGTGTCTGCTCCCTTCCTTGGGCTTTTCTGACTATCCTTTCACTCTGCTCTTTGCTACTCCAAGGAGTAATTAAGTCCCTACCGGATTCCACCTGCAGAGTTAAAAATGCCTGATATACATGGCAATAATAGTGAAAGATGACAGCTGATTTTGTTGAAGTCAGCTTTCCTATCCAAGAGAAATGGGGAGGGGGTTTCCACTAATGGATTCCCAAGCCACACCACCTATAAACATCCTACGAATTTCATAAATGCTCTTTGGATGACTGGCAGTATTTTCCTACTCAAATTAAGCACTATCAACCCTGTCCACAAAGGGCAAGCAGAGCTCTATCCTACTGGACAACCACTCATTCAAAGCAGTTTTCCTCAACTGACTGCCTGATGACGGAGGCAATAAAGACAAAAGTAATCAACAATAACGACTGGCCAGCCAACTAGCTAAGGATGTTTACAGTAGCTCAGAGCCATAAACCAGTGTGTGCCAGTCAACATACCATTGCAAAATTCCCAATTTTCATTTTTACCCAGCATCCAAACCCAATCACCAGGCTGGGGGTTGAAGCTCAGTGGCTGAGCACTTACCTATCTGTCCTATGGAGCTGACTTTAATCCCCAATACTGCAAAATTGTAAACCACAAATCAAGTTTTGTACTGCCACGTGATTAACACTATGCAAGGGAGAAAAATGTCAAATTCTTATGAAATCTTGTAGGTACAAGACAATTGACAAGAAAAAGGCCTAAGGAAAATTGCTGCAGTAGTCAGCATTTCAGAAAAATCAAGCTGATGAATACACTGGCTAGGACAAGGTGAACACTCACCACACTCACTCCTCCAGTTAGAAAGAGAAAAGCCAAAAATATTACCTACGTTCCAATTAATGACGACTTCTGAACAGATCTAAAACAGACAATCAAAATCAAATAAATCTTGTCCAAGAAGGAGTATCAGGAATTGATATTTTAAGGGGCCTTAGCCCTGTGAAATGTGTTTAATTCCTACTGAATGGCTCAATTACATGAAGACCCTGAAAGACAGTACTTACTTGAGTATTCTTTTCCTGAATAGACAGATTCTTACACATCAAACTGTCACTGTCATCTAAAGTTCTGAAAAACTTTTAAAAGTCAACACCTTCTGTGCGCTTCCAAAAAGTCAGTCAGGTTTTTCTAATACACGTAGAAATTGAAAAGCATTTCAATATAAGATAATTATTCCCAGCAATAAATGAGACATAAACCTGAATTTGTCTGAAGTTTCTCTTCACCAGTGAGGTTCTAAAGTTTTAGGAGTTTCCTAGTCATTTACTTGAACATCATCTACAGTAACACTCAAAGCAAAACCACAATAAAGAGGTTTGGCCTCTGAGGGATTCTACATGTAAAAAGCATTACTCATAAATAATATACCATCATTATTGATTTAAGTAGCAATACATTTCTAAACTTTCATGGTGTCTGATGGAATCCCCTGCTTTAGACAGCAAAACAAACCCTATGAACCCACAGATGGGTTTTTCATTTAATTAAATCTACTATAATACAAAAAATTAACATGAAGTCACTTAAAAAAAAAAAAAAACCCACTAGTTGAAGTGGCATGTGTCTACAATCCCTGCACCAGCACTCACACTCAGAAGGCTGAGGCAGGACAGTAGTTCCAGACTGGCATACTGCATAGTGAGAGCCTATTTTAAGGTCTACTTACAGGGAAATATATTTTAGTTCTTAGGTGTTTTGAATCAAAGGTCTCATTCCTTAAGAGTTAGTGGAATTCACAGAACAATAGTACCAATAACTGAGCCAATTTATTCCAGTTATGCCTTTTAAAGCTGACTCTATTTAATCCCAGGTATAACTAAAGCAACAAAACCTGAGCAGGACACATTCCCACCAAGGACATGCACTGGCTACAGAGTACTGCACAATCCACTGGGATGCCACCAATTCAAAACCAAGAACCTGACAAAATGACTTCCGGCAAATCAACTTTGGATCCTAAAGGATCCTGAACTTGCCTCACATTCATCACCTCCCCCACGACTGTTCTTTAAATGACAGCAAAAACACATCAACTCTTGAAAACAGTAAATTCCAAATAGAAGTTAAAAAGAAACCCAGCAGACTACAAAAAAAAATCAATCTTTACATTTTGCCAAGTGCATTCAAACGTTAACTCTAAAAGCAGCTCAGCTCATCTGATCACAAGCCGTTTAAATCAACCTCTAAATGAAACCTGTTTAACATTTTCCTAACATAGAAACCTCAAAATAGTCACTTACCTCCCCATCTCCATCACCAACCCTGCAAAAACGAACATCAGCACCCTCCCTTCAACCTGCACTTTTCCACATCCCCAACATTTATCTTCAAGGGCAAAAAAAAAAAAGAAAAAGACATATCTTTACCAACTTTATCAGCTCAAGACAGAAAAAGCATAACGCAGCCTTCCTGTACTACCATCCCACCATTATTAAACTTCTCAGAAAGGAGAACTCAGGGCAGACAAATGAAAACCATGCTGCACATGGCGAAAATAAAAAGGTCTCCGGTCTACACAATCTACGGGATACCGCCGCTTCCTCTCTGGGAGCCAGAATCTACAAGCCAAAGGATGCAAGTGTCACACATATCCAGTGTCTGTCTGAAATAGGGCGAAAACCTGGGAAAATTCCCTCCCAGAAACCATTTAGTGAGCACGAGGCAGGGGATCCAACTCGAAAAAGACACATCACCCACCCCCAAATGCAAAAAAAAAAGCCGTTATCAACAAGTTGGTAAGAGGGTGAGCAAAGGAGTCCGGCTCACACCCCTCTGCCCGGAGCGGAAAAACACAAGTCTTTTAACAAAAGGTGAGCGCGAGCTTCCAGTACCTGGTGGAGGTGCCTTTCCTCACATCGCAGATGCTACATTTGAAGGCTTCGGCGCTGTTCCTGAAGGTGCAGACACTACAATCCCAAAAGCCTTCGTCTGCCGCAGGTTTCGCTTGTCTTTTTGGCCTTGGGAGGAGTAGGGAACCGGGGGAGGAGGAAAAGAGAGGGAAGAGAGAAGGAGGAAAAAAAAAACAACACAAACACTGGTGAGCCGTCATTTCGCAGGAATCCAACGCTGGAAACTTCTCGGGGG